AAGCAGAGAATGTGATCAGGCAGGAGACTAGAACAAAGCCATACACTAGAGATTTAGGGTATATTTTGGTCTGTTAGAAGAAACTGTATCCCAAAATTTGAAAGAGAGAACTTATATATATATAAAAAATAAGGTTAACTACTATGAAGGGATAGATTATGACTCTAAAAATGAAAAATAAAAAAGATTTTTAAAAAGGGGATTGATAAGATGTTGGCTGAAAAAGGGAAAAAGAAAAATTCAAAAAAAAATTTAAAAAATTAACTTTTAAAGACTAAAGAATCACGGGGAAAAAGCCATGAATTCTCTGTGCAGTATTCCCCTAGCGCTGAAGTTCTGTGGTCTCATTGATGCGTAAACTTGGTCTTGGCTGGCTGTTCTTGCTGATCTTCTGGGGGAGGGGCCTGTTGCTGTGGTTCCCAAATGTCTTTGCCAGAGGCGGAATTGCCCCGCCCTTGCCAGGGCCGGGCTAAGTAATCCGCTCGGGTTTGCTTTCGGGAGCTTTTGTTCCCTGCAGGCTTTCCGTACAGCTTTGGAGGATGAGAGTGGAAATAGCGGCCTCCCAATCTCCGCCCCGGAGGAGCCGAAAACTCGGGGCCCCACTCCTCAGTGCACCCCCAGAGAAAAGCAGTCAGTCACTCCCGTCTCCTCGGTCTCTGGCCGCACTCCCTGCTCACCCAGCCTGTGACCGAGCATTTCTATCTGTGGCATACGACCCCATTTGGAGTCTCCAAACCCAGCAGATTCCCCCCTCCCCCAGGGCAGGAAGGGGAGTTCCCCCGATCTGCTGCTTGTTGGGTCCCTGCTTCCAGAAAGTGGTCGCTTTTCTGTTCAGGGAGTTGCTGCTATTCTTTTCTTTGATCTCCTGTTGAGTTCGTAGGTGTTCAGAATGGTTTGATCCCTATCTAGCTGAATTCCTGGGACCAGATGAAATTTAGGTCTCCTCCTCTGCCATCTTGCTCCTTCCCCCCCAAAGTTACTCCAATTTTAAGTGTAGGTAATTTGTATTTCAAGATGGTTTGAACCTAAAATACACATTTCTTTTTTCTACTTCATGTCATCTCTCTATAAGCAAAGGGAAGTGGAGAAACCTCTCTTTCAGTTTAAGCAAGATGGGGATTAGCACTGGAACAGCAGGGCATGACCAACGCCAATGACTGATTATGTGCAGTTGTTTTTATGATGTTTAACTTTCAGATGATATGTGTACGTGATGTGAATATTCCACTATTTACATCTGTGATTATGTCGTGTGATTTATACAGAGCTGTGATTTTTTAAAGAGTAATGTAACTTGTATATCAAGGAACTTTTTCTTTGTCATAGAAATTTGTCCTTAGGTATAATGTTCCTTCAAATTCATTTTAGTAATATTCGTAGATTTAAGAAAGATTGTTGGATTATGACTTTTTGGTTGCTTCTTAAGGTTTTTGGGGGGGCGTTGTTTTGTTTTGTTTTTAGTTTCAAGAGTAGAATTTAGTGATTCATTGCTTACGTATAACACCCAGTGTTCATCCCAACACGTGCCCCCCTTAATGTCCATCACCTACTTAGTCCATCCCCTCACCCACCTCCCCTCCGGCAACCCTCAGTTTGCTCTCTATAGTTAAAGAGTCTCTTAATGGTTTGCCTCCCTCTCTATTTTTATCTTATTTTTCCTCCTGTTCCCCTATGTTCATCTCTTTTGTTTCTTAAATTCCACATGAGTGAAATCATATGGTATTTGTCTTTCTCTGACTGACTTTTTTCACTTAGCATAATACACTCTAGTTCCATCCATATTGTTGCAAATGGCAAGGTTTCATTCTTTTTGATGGCTGAGTAATATTCCATTGTATTTGTGTGTGTGTGTGTGTGTGTGTGTGTTTACATACACATACATAACACACCCCACATCATCTTTATTCATCAGTCAGCGGACATTTAGGCTCTTTTCATAATTTGGCTATTGTTGATAGTGCTGTTATAAATACTGGGGTACATGTGCTCCTTTGAATTAGTGTTTTTGTATTCTTTGGATAAATACCTAGTAGTGCAATTACTGGGTCATAGGGTAGTTCTATTTTTAACTTTTTAAGGAACTTGCATACTGTTTTCCAGAGTGGCAGTTGCTTCTTAAGTTTTAACATGATATGTTATTGTCTACAAAACTACTTTTGATTTCAACTTTTAAGGGTTTATTAAGGACAACTTGGTATCTGTCAGAAGTCTTTAAAATCATTATTCCACTTCTTAGCATTTCTACTAAGGAAAAAATTACAAGAACACAAAGACGTGTGTGTAAGAATAAACACTTTAACAGTAAAAATTTTAGGGAGACAAATCTCTTCAATCAGGAAGAGATTTGGTTATATAAATAATAGTTTTTATTAAATTTATGGTATTTATAATACCAAACTATATTAGGCAGACATTGACGTGATGAAATACATATGTATGTATTGGCTTGAAGAAATAGTCACTACGACGTGGAATATAAAAATAGTTTGCAAAATAGCATTGGATTTGTAGTAACATACATATATTTAGGAATGCACAGAAAAACGTTTAGGTATAGTATAAACCAGATGTTAATGTTGACCATCTATGGATCTGGATTACAAGTTGTTTTTACTTTGTTATATATTTTTCTTGTATTGTTAGTGTTTTTTCACTGAGCATCTATTGTATCTAAAGACAGATTTAAGTATAAAAAAAGAGGGATGAATGGAGTCCGTATTATTTTTTAAGCTATCTATAAAGATTTGTTAGCTCAGCTTTTGAGAAGCACCAGTAAGGAAAAAGTGATAGTCTCTGACAAGTACCTAGAATACAGGTGATGTCTGTGGGAGGTTTGTTCCAAATTCCGTGAGTTTTAACATCCAGACAGGATGGTAATATGAAGGAAATCCTCTTGAGAAGCCCAATGACCGCATATATCCAAAGAGAAAATTCCCAACTTCAGAAAGGTGATGTAAGGAAGGACCCAGATACAAGATCGTGAGTTTTTTAAAGAATCATTTGAAGTCTGCACTCATACATTAAAAAAAAAAAAAATTGTTAAGAATTCTATGACTGGTATATTTGTGCCTATACTATATTTGAGGTAATTAATACTTGGTCTTTGACATGAAGTAAATCTTAATAAATAATTTATTGATAAAAAAGTGGTCAAAAAATGGACCCTCACTAACAGGATGAGTTAACTTAAAGGTGAATGAAGTAAGAAATGCTTTTCTTCCCGGTGAAGAAAACACCTTTTAAGTGTACAACTTATGTTTTTAATTTCAATAATATGTTACTAGAAAATATTAAATTTTAGGTAGGCTAGTATTCTGTGAATTAATTTTTTATACTTATTTACAGATTCTGGATTTCTTAAGCATGGATGAAATTAGGAATAATTCTGAAGTTCAAAACCAAGAATGTGGCTTTCGGAAAATCGCTTGGGCATTTCTCAAGGTATGTTTTCCACCCATTTTAAACGCTTTAAAAATCATCTTCAAATCCGATTGGCTACATTTTCCCCATGTCTGTTTGGTTTTATTTAAGGAATTATGATCTAAGATTGCAGTTGTGAAGAACTGTTAATGCAAGCTAAGGTGATACTCAGATTCTTAAATATCTATTGAGTGTCTAGTGTGTGCCAGATACACTATTTGGTTCTGAGTATATAGTATTGAAAAAGATACACAAGAACCTGCCATCATTTATTCAACTTAAAAGATACTTATTAGGGGTTCCTGGGTGGCTCAGTCGTTAAGCGTCTGCTTTCCGCTCAGGTCATGGTCCCAGGGTTCTGGGATCGAGCCCTGCATCAGGCTCCCTGCTCCGCGGGAAGCCTGCTTCTCCCTCTCCCACTCCCCCTGCTGGTGTTCCCTCTCACTGTCTCTCTTTCTGTCAAATAAATAAATAAAATCTTAAAAAAAAAATAATTTATAAAAAAAAAAGATACTTATTAAACCCTTTCTGTGTGCCAGCAGTGGTTCAAGTCAGTAAACAAGAAAATAAACTCCTTGACCTTGTTTACTTCATATTTTAACTTTTGTTTAGGAAAACAAATATAAAACAATTGTTTATACAATTTATCATTTATTGAAATTTTTGTAAATACTGTGTGGAGGTCAGGGAAAGATTTCCTAAGGAAGAGGCGTTGAACCTGAGTATTAGCTAGATGGTAGCAGGGGGGAAGAGAGAGAGTTATGGGTAGATAGAGGGTATCATATTTGCAAAGACATGATGTTGGAAGGAGTGAGATACACTCATAACCAAAAGGCCACTGAGATTGGAGGACAGAGACTGAGGGGGGAAATGGTGTCTGAAGAGATTGCTGAGTAGACAGGGTCTTGATCGTGCAATGATCTTTGCCTTAGTCTTTGAAGCCATTATAACAACAGGAAGTCAAAATAGAATTCTAAAGAACAATGGGAAGCCATTATAGGATTTTAAACAAAAGGGTAGAATAATCTGATTTAGGTTTTAGAAAGATGACTTTGCTTGGTGGGGAATGAATTAGAGAGTGTGTACATATATATAGTGGAAGATTATGGTTGAAAATTCTTACAGTAATCTTGGTAGGAAATGATGGTGTCTTTAGAGTATTTCAGCAGAGATGAAAGATGTGATAGGTTGATTTTTACAAAAGGGAACATTTTAATTTTTTTTTTTTATTTCTGGTATCCTTTATTTCCGACTTCAAATATAAATGAGTTATAAAAAGTCTTGAATCGGGGCACCTGGGTGGCTCAGATGGTTAAGCGTCTGCCCTCGGCTCAGGTCATGATTGCTGAGATGGAGCCCCACATCAGGCTCCTGGCTCAGCGGGGAGCCTGCTTCTCCCTCTCCCTCTGCCTCTCTCCCTGCTCGTGCTCTCTCTCTCCTCTGTATCTCTGTGTCTCAAGTGAATAAATAAAATCTTAAAAAAAAAAAGTCTTGAATTAACCTATTTTGTACAATTTATAAAACTTTTCTGTTTGTGTATCCATCCATTCAACAATATTTATTAAGTGTCTATGAAATGCCAGGCACTCTGCCAAATACAGAGCATTCAGAGATAAATTAGACATTGTCCTTGCCCTCCAGTTCAATTTCTGTATAAACATGTTACATGATTATGTGCTATAGAGTGGGTGCTGTGAAAACCCAAGTAAGGCACTTAATTCACATTGGGGTTTAGAGAGATGCTTTAGAAGAGGTGCAGTCTGGGGCGCCTGGGTGGCTCAGTTGGTTAAGCGACTGCCTTCGGCTCAGGTCATGATCCTGGAGTCCCGGGATCGAGTCCCACATCGGGCTTCCTGCTCAGCAGGGAGTCTGCTTCTCTCTCTGACCCTCTTCCCTCTCGTGCTTTCTATCTCTCATTCTCTCTCTCTCTGAAATAAATAAAATCTTTAAAAAAAAAAAGAGGTGCAGTCTGGGACACCTGCATGGTTCAGTTGGTTAAGCGGCCTCTTCTTGGTTTCATCTCAAGTCATGATCTCAGGGGTCATGAGATCCAGCCCTGTGTGGGACTCTGAGCATGGAGACTGCTTGGGATTTTCTCTCCTTCTCCCCTTACTCTGCTTCTGCTTGCATGCACTATCTTTCTGAAAATAAAGAAATAAATCTTAAAAAAAAAAAAAATACCTGCAGTCTGACTGCTGAAAGGAAGCCAGATTGGCTGTGGGAGGAAGTAATTACAGTGGACTTAGGAATCCCTTGGTCCAGTATAGCTTCTAAAATCACCCTTTTGTAATCTGTTATAACTTTTTTGTATCCCCTTCATACTGCTTTTGAGGAAAAAAAACAAGCAAAAGCCAAAAAAAGATTGCTTTCATATAGCAAATGCTGTCATTGTGTGGTCTTATTAGAAAACACTTTTGTTCCTTTTAAAAATGCTAAGATTTGGGGCGCCTGGGTGGCTCAGTCGTTAAGCATCTGCCTTTGGCTCAGGTCATGATCCCAGGGTCCTGGGATCGAGCCCCACATTGGGGTCTCTTGGGTGGCTCAGTCGTTAAGCATCTGCCTTTGGCTCAGGTCATGATCCCAGGGTCCTGGGATCGAGCCCCGCATTGGGGTCTCTGCTCTGCGGGAAGCCTGCTTCTCCCTCTCCCACTCCCCCTGCTTGTGTTCCCTCTCTTGCTGTGTCTCTCTTTGTCAAATAAAAAAATAAAATCTTAAAAACAAAACTACAACTAAAAAAAAAATGCTAAGATTTGTGAAAAACTGCAATAATAACTACAAACTGCACTTGGAAAACAATGTCTAATAGCATCTTTACCTTTAAGTGTATATAGACTTTTATTTATCCATTTTATGCCATTGGCAGAAATGGCAAATCAGAAATTCTCCCATCTCTACCCCCTACCACAAAGGGTAAGTATTCTGTCTACTTCCTCTATTGTAACATTTCTGTATCACCTTCATAGATTGTAAGTTTTTCAAAGTCACTGGTGACTTCTTTTTGGCAAATTTGTTGAACATATTTTAGTCCTTATTTTACCAGATCTCTTTGCATTTGTTATATCACTCTCTTGAAACTCTCTTTTTTTTAAATTATTACCAGCTCCCAGCATATTAGTGGCACAGGGGAAGTGTTCAGTGAATGTCTGTTGAGAGAATTAAAAAATGTATGGACTAGAAAAAAATCTGTCTTTGAACATAGCATGGGGGTGCCTGGGTGGCTCAGTCGGTTAAGTGTCTGCCTTCAGCTCAGGTCATGATCCCGGGACCCTGCATCAAGCTCCGTGCTCAGCAGGGAACCTACTTCTCCTGCTCCCTCTGCCTCTCCCCTCTGCTTATGCTTTCTCACTCTTTCTCAAATAAATAAATAAATAAAATCTTTAAGAAAGTAGCATGACTCAAAATAAAATTTAAGTGTGTTAATATCTATACCATTGGTTCCAGGAATGTCCTAGATAATTGTAGTTACTTTAGTGATCCAGATAAATCCCAAAGGACCGTACCCAGATATAAATGAGACTTTATCTTAATTTCAGCTAGAGACACTTTTAATTCATTTAGCACATATATATTACTATTCTTTTATATTATAAAATAATAAAGCTTTATTTAGCCACATTCTACATTATATAATTGTAACCATAATGACAGGATCTTGGCTGATCTTCATCATTTAGTCATGCTAAGCATCATACTTGTGTAAACTAGATTGCCTGGTGAGTATTAAAACAACCTATAGAAAGTATGATTTAGAAGGGGGGAATAATATCTCATAATAATATTCTCTTATGATAAACTTTAGGCAGATAGGAGTAGGATTTATGAAGGAAGTCTCGAGGGCTTAATATTTAATTACTGAACACTTCTATTACTCTTTTGAAACTGTTCTTTATCCCTGTATATCATAACCTGGATGTTGGTTATAGTTTTGGACTTCCTTTGCAAAATCCTAATTCAGCAACCATTTATCACATGAGATTTGTAGACCCTGCCCAGGAACCTGTAGAATTTATTCAGCAGAAGCAGTACCCTGCTCCATGTACATCTGTTCAAGTGATGTGCTTACCAAGCATATTAGGCAGTCCCCCTTGGAAACAGCAGTGGCCTCGGGCCAGCAGCTGCTGCAGCAGCCTGTGTTCCCTCCTGCTCCAACACTGTGGCACTGTTGTCTGGGATCTCTGCGGCCATCCTCTGGAACCCTGGTACTTCTCTCAAGCTTTATGAAACCTTCGCTATTTTTCCTTGCATGACAGGGTTCTGTCCTGTCTGTCATGGGAGCTCTGCCAATTTTAATGTGATCATGGTATAAACAGTAAAATGATTTAAAAATGAAAAAAAAAAAAAGCTTATGACTTCCATTGACTTTACATCCTTCCTTAGAAGGCTAGGGATGAAATGGGCTACATTTTTGCCAGTTCTGTTTATTGATGCCTCATTCCTGAACACACTGCAATCTGGATTTTGTTTCAGCTGTGAAAGTATCTCCAAACAAATCATCAGTGACTTCTATTTGCCACCTTAGTGAGTGAACATTTTTCATTTATTCTTTTATCACACCTGTGTGTGTGTTTAATACATCACTCTCTTGAACCTCTGATACCTGGGTTTTCTTGACATCATCCTTTCCTACTTTTCCCTGTACCATTCCTTCAGTTTCCTTCATGGTATTCCACTTACCTCTCTCATATCAATCCTACTCATGGTTTCAGCTTTATTCTATTTTTCTTAGACCACTTTTCTTGCCTCTGTCTCAGATTTCAGATATTTCAACTTGGATGACCTATAAATATCTCAGACTTTAGCATCCTACCTAAATCCTTTATCCCTTCTGTATCTGCTACTTGAGTTGATAGCACTGCCATCAGCCCAGTCTTCCACATTTAGAGCTTTAGAGTTGCACTGTTCATTTTGGTAGCCACAAATCATATGTGGCTATTTGAATTCAAATTAATTAATTAAAATTAAATATAATTAAAGATTGAGTTCCACAGTTGCACTAGTCACACTTCAAGTGCTCGATAACCGTATGCGACTAGTGTATCTTGTACTGGGTACCACAAGTATAAAATGCTCGCATCATCACAGAAAATTTTATTGGACAGCACTGCCTTAGAGTCTTTCCTAAATCTTCCCTTCTTTCCAAGTTGCATCAGTGAGTAACAGCTACTGAATATATTCCCTGCGTTCAGTCCTGTTTTCCTAAGCTGTCACCTTCATGTTCTGCCTCAACTGCTGCAAAAGCTCCCAATTGTCTCCTCCTAATTTGTAGAGGACACAAAGGTTAACATGACATTTTCTACTTAGAGTTATAGTCTCGTGAAAGGGGACCTATTTTGAGTTAATGAGATTTTTATTTTTCTCATAAGCATCTCCATTTATTTAGCTTAAATATAAGTTGTTTTAGGTTTTTTTATTGAATAGCCTTTTTTAAGAAGGTAGACTAAAACATTTTTAAAGGTAATGAATGCCTTGAATGAGTTTATGTTAATTACGTTTTGAAAATGATTTTGACTTTAAAAAATTAAAACATTAAAATATTACCATTAAAGGAGCGCCTGGGTAGCTCAAACAACAGACTCCTGATTTTGGCTCAGGTCATGATCTCAGGGTCCTGAGATTGAGCCCCATGTTGGGGTCTGCACTGGGTGTGGATTCTGCTTAAGATTCTCTCTCTGCGCCACCCCCCCACTTGTGCGCACGCATGTGCACTCTGTCTTCCCTCCCCTCTCCTGTGCATGTGCTCTCTCAAAAAAATTTTTAGAAAATGTTCATTAAAAATAGTGATACTAAACAAATGGAAAATTTCTTTCTATGTTTAAATATTATGCATTTTAACTTTATCACTGTTGTTTCAAATAAGGTATCTTGATTACCTCCTTTGTGCCAAGTAACATCTGACACAGTAATGTAAATGCTTTACCAACAGCCTGAACTTGTACAGGCCAGGCTGCTATCAGGAAAATATTTAAAAAGTAATTTGGGTTACCTTTTGTCAAAATGATCTGGAATTGTGTTTAACCAACTGTGTCAGTGTTCTTTGCTTTATATATCTTAGGAATTTCAGCATGCCATATTAATCTTTTTAAAATGAGTTTTTGACTATGTACTGTTGCTTTCCTGGATGTATTTATTTTCAGTGAAAATAACATTTTTTTGGAATTCTTATTTTAAGCTTCTCGGAGCCAATGGAAATGTAAACATCAATTCAAAACTTCGTTTGCAGCTGTATTACCCACCTACTAAGCCCCGATCCCAATTAAATGTTGTTGAGGTTTTTGAATGGTGGTCAAAATATCCAAGAAATCGTTATCCATCAACATTATACGTAACTGTAAGAGGATTGAAAGTTCCAGAATGTGTAAGTTAATAGCACATTCTCTGTTACTGAAATTAAATGGTGATGTTTTTCATTTCTAAAAAGATAAGGTCTCTAAATTATTTTAATAGTTTCTTGGATATAAAAGTACTTTCAACAATTATGTATTAGGCCTATACTAGCTAATATGTAAAAGATACTTAAGTGAATATTAATTACTAAATATAAGTTTTGGTGTTAGGAGAATTTTTTAAAAATAATATTGGCTTTTAAAAATTAAAGATAAAAGAATGATGTAAAGTAAGTGTTGACAAATATTTTCCGTAAAGCCCAAGAGTAGTTAATATTTTAGGCTTTGTAGACCATACAGTTTTTGTTGCAACTACTCAGCTTTGCCTTTGTAGCGAGAATGTGGCTACATAGATGTATGTAGGCAATGCTAAACAGATGGGTGTAGATGTGTTCCAATAAAACTTTATTGGGAAAAACAGCAAGCTACATTTGCAGTACCATGATTTACAGGCACACTTTCCACAATAGTATTCAAATAATGTTTCTACTACTGTTTTCCACAGATTAACACTATGAATGATTTTAGCAAAGAATTGGTTCTTAAACAAAACTTTTGTTTTAGACAATAAGATATTTCAGGACAGTTGCATATTCTGTAAGTGATGTTATTAGTGTGACTACAGCATTGGTTTGCATTAATTTGAATGGAGTTAAATCTCTTTTTAGAAAAGGAAGATTTAAAAACTTTAGGTCTTTATGATACCAGTTTTGTCATATTAAAGCAAGGGATACCATAGTGTATCAGAGCTGTGACATAACATTTGATAGGTATTAGTGAAGAGGCAGAAACAAAGGGATAGAGTTATTAAAACCATTTCATGTAACCATTGGAGTTCTGTTTTTTCCCTCCCAACCTTTAAGGCTTTTTGGTTATAGACCAAGCACCTTTTATCTTATTTAGAATAATGTACATAAAAGTAGAATGCTTTTCTGCGTTACATTTTGAAAACATTTCCACGTTGTTTGTTTCAGTATTTTAAAAACCCTATATGCTAGAAAAAGGTTAACTTGATATTTACATTTTCTCATCTTCTATACACATTTAGATAAAGCCATCTTACCGTTCTGTGGTGGCTCTTCAGGAGGAAAAAGGTAAACCAGTGCATTGTGAACGACACAACGAGACCAGTTCAGTCAACGCAGAACCTGGACTAGAAGATTCCAAAGAAGTAGTGAAGTGGAAACGACTACCTGGGCAGGTGAAGTGCTTGATTATTCTCAATTCATTTAGAGATGCCCTTATTTATTTTAAAAGCTCCAACAGCTCTGAGGGTAATTAACTTGCTACTTGAAACTTTCAGATTATCCTTGCTTTTAACCACAGTCTTGTCTTTCCATTAATTTACTTGATAATTAATAGTAGAGTATGTATCACATAAAAGCACTATCTTGTGTTCTTTGTTTGGGGACTTGGGTTAGTTTTATCAGTTGGCTGGAGCTGCCAGAAAGAAATACCGCAGACTGGGTGGCTTAAATAACGAGCTTACTCCTTCATAATTCTGGAGGCTGAAGTCCCAGGGTTAAGGGTTAGCAGGGTTGGTTTACTCTGAGGCCTTTCTCCTTGGCTGGCAGATGGCTGGCAGATGGCTGCCATCTTGCTCCTCTTCAGGGTCTCTTCTCTGTGCCTGTAGATCCCTGGTGTCTCTTCCTCTTACAAGGGCAGCAAATCTTACTAGATTAGGACACCACCCTAAAAAATAAAAAGCTCTTTAAAGATTTTTACCTCCAAATACTGTTAAATTTGAGGTACTGGAGTTAGGGCTTCAACATATGAATTTGGGGGGACACAATTCAATCTATGATAGCAATAAAAAAACAGATTTTTGATGTTTTCAGAGGTTAATCTCTTAATGGGTTTTCTTAGTAAAATGGAAAACTAATGTTTTCCTTCCTGGTTAGCATATTTTGCAGTAGCAAGAAGCATTGCTGATAAGAGTTTTGCAAATCTCTTACTTACTTCCACAAAGGAAATGAGAAGCAGTGGCAAGTGCTTGTAAAAACCTCCTGACTTTTCCTTCAGTTTTTCTCCTCTTTTTCTTTCCCTTTTCCTTTTCTCAATCATCAGGGTGGAAAATGAAGGGAAAAGATGGGTAGCAGGGTGTCCCATACCTTGTTGATATTATATAATAAATAATAATAATGTCTGTTGAGTATTTCACCATCCCAGTAGCTGCTTACAATGTTTCCTGCTAATAAAGCTGCTGAATCTTGATGCTACTATTAAAACACCTGGTCCCTGTCCAGAAAGCAGACTCTTGAACCAAGAGTCTTTGACTAGGCCCAGTAAGCTGGGCTTGACCCCCTGAATAATCCTGATTACTTATATGTAGAAATAATGGTTATTTACACAGTGCTGTGGCAAATATATGAAAAGACATTTGCAAGGAAGTACCACATTCATTGCATACAGTAAAGGACCAATATGTTTAATTGAACTTTTGAAATAATAAACCCAGGCACTAAGACTCCCTGAAGTTTAGAAGAGGTAGAATTAGGATAAATAAAAGTAGTATTTTCTACAGTAGATATTATACATGGAAAGTTTTGGTTTCATCTGGTAACAGGAGATGAAAACATAAAAATTATGAAATTTTAATAAAATTAGTGAATGAGAAACCAACAGGAGGTGATTACTTTGAAAATACCTTTCAGAAAGCAACCACAGGTGATAGTTATTTTAAGAGATAAAAAGAGAGAAAATGAACATTCATACGTCCCAGGCTTAAGCTAGGCCCTATAGGGCATTTATGGTCTCAGAACAAGTTTATGGCTCAGCAAAAATCACTTATTAGGTGCTGTCATGTAATAAGGATGTGATATGACATTTTTTTGTGTGTGGCAATATATACATATATATATATACACACACGTACACACACGCAATAGTGACAGGTTTAGAGTACCAGATAATGAAATTTTCTATTCATATTTTAGGTGAATTAAGTACAGTTAGACATGGACTATAAATTGACTTTATTTTATGGAGACCTGATTCCCTCTCTAGGAAATAAAATAATTTACTATAGCTTTCCATCATTCTGTTTACTTTCCTCTTTCTTTGCATCACAGTAAAGGGACTTAAAAAAAAAAATAAAGCTCTACCACTGCAGTAATTGAATTAACAACTAGCCTTCATATTTTAATGTTTCTTAATTTATTTTTGTTAAATATATGTTTTTTAGGCTTGCCGTATCCCAAACAAACACCTCTTCTCACTAAATGCAGGAGAAAGAGGATGTTTTTGTCTTGCTTTCTCTCATAATGGAAGAATATTAGCAACAGCCTGTGCCAGCCGGGATGGATATCCAATTATCTGTGAGTAATAATTCTGTCTGTTTAATGTGATTGAAGTCTATGTGGAAGACATTGGTTTTTAAAACTCATTGAAATATTAATTTGAGTAACCCCCAGTTTTTTAATAATAATTTTACAGTTTTCTATAAAATATATGTTCAAAAGGAGAATGAGAATAATCAAATGAAGGATGGTAAGTTTATTTTTAAAACATGTAAGAGGATTTTTGTATTTTCTATTTTAAATATAGAAATTTAGAAACATGAAGGGATTAATAAATCTCATGAGGCATTCTAGCCCATTGTGGTCAGTTGATAGCAGTGGTAATTTCAATTATGAAAGCCCTCAAATTCCATATGCACTAGAACAGTGACAGCTAGCTCAGGAGCACCTAGCGAACCACTCCTCTTTATGGCAGCAAGGCAGTAGGGAGGCCCAAACCCACTTTCAAATTGCCTTTAAAAAGGTAAGAAAACCTAAAAAGAAAAATTTCTGTAGCTTTAAGTGAGCATTATCTGCTCTTCTAGACTGAGGGACATTAAATACTTGCCCTTATTTCTTGCGTCAGCTTCCTCAGCAGGAAGTAGCCTGCTCCTTGTGGGCATCTGCCCTAAGCAGTATTTTTTTTTTTTTTTAAGATTTTATTTATTTATTTGACAGAGACAGTGAGAGAGAGAACACAAGCAGGGGGAGTGGGAGAGGGAGAAGTAGGCTTCCTGCTGAGCAGGGAGCCTGATGCGGGACTCGATCCCAGGACGCTGGGATTTTGACCCGAGCTGAAGGCAGACACCCAACAACTGAGCCGCCCAGGCGCACTAGGTGGTATTAAACTTCCCTCAGCCTCACACAGTTTATTTCAGGTGAATTACTCTTTTCAGCAAGGACTTATAATTGGCTTGGTTAGCATTTATTAAATAAATATTCCTCCTCATGAAATGATGTTAGCTTTAAAAGACACAAAATTTGTGTAGTTTGATTACAACCATGCTATTTTAAAAATTCACCGAAACCTATGCATGGAGGAAAAAAGATTCATAGTATTAATAGTGATTTCTTTCTTTTGGCTAGTGAAAGAATTATTTTCATTCTGATTTATATTTTTAGCATTTCAGTGATAAATATGTTACTTTATGCTGAAAGAAATCTTGTTCAAAATGCTATATGAATTTAGACATACTTAATACTTAAGTTTCAAAACACAGAGGAAGAATTTTTGTCTTTGGTTTTTGATTGTTGGGCTGTGATGTGTCTGCTTGGAATTCGTTTAGCTTGTTGGATGTATAGATTACTGTTTTTCACAAAATCAGGAAATTTTCAGTCTTTGTTTCTTCAAATTGTTCTCCTTTCTATTTTTTCTCTTCTGAGACTCTCATCATCTCTTTGTACACTTGGTGGTGTCCCACAGGTCCCTGCAGCTTTAATTCAGTTTTCTTCATTCTTTTTCTTTCTGTTCCTCAGACGGCATAATCTCAAATGACCTGTCTTCAAGTTGAGTCTTCTGCCAGTTCAGATCTGTTAGTGAGCCCATCTAGTGAATTGTTTATTTCCATTATTGTACTTTTTAACTCTAGAATTTTTATTTGTTCCTTTTTTTTTTACTAATTTCTGTCTCTTTACTGATACTATTTTTTGGCAAGAAATTATTCTCACTTCTTTAGACATGGTTTCCTTTATATCTTTTAACATATTTATAAGAGTGGATTTAAAGTCTTTGTCTAGAACAGCATCTTGGTTCCCTTCTGGGCATTCTGTGGACTGCCTGGTTTCCTGTGTATGGCTCTACTTGACTGTTTTGGTTTCTTCATGTCTCTATATTAACGTGTGGCAGGTCTGGAAATCGGATTCCTCTCCTTCCCCCTCCTCTGCACCTATCCACCCAGGATTTGTTGTTGCTGAAGTCTCTGCTCAGTTAGCTTGGTGGTCAGCTATGATAGAGATTTTTAAATGCCTTGAGTGAGTAGATCGCCCAGCCTTTACCAAGCAGATCTGTGTGTGTGTTGGGATGTGCTCTTAACACCTCATGGCAGGCAATCTGCAGCTCTGCCTTAGCCTGCACTTTCAGGTCAGTGAGAGTGAGAGAGGGCCTCTGGTCTTTTGTTCACATACATATGTCCTGCTAGGTTACCAGGAATTTGTTGGATCTTTTCAGAGTCCCCTCTGGACATCTCATTCCCAGTTTTTTCCTTTTATGTTTTTTGCTCAGCCTCTCCTTAGCCTCAGTTGGTATCACCGCCTCATATAGTTGTGCCACTGATTATTTCAGCATGCACCCTGGGGTTAGGGCTCTTCACACAGAGCATGCTCTGAGCCAAGTCAAGTAAACCAAGCCCTGAGAATGGAGCCTTTTAGGGAACTGCCAGACTGTCGTAATAGTGGTAGGTATTGGGGATGGGGCTTTGGGGGAGCTTCTTACGTCTTCTGGCCCGTCCCATGGCTGCTAGGCAGCCGGCTTTAAGTTGTGAGGCTATTGGTTTCTAAAGCTACGGGGGAGCTTGGGAGAGTGGAATGGGAACATGGCAAGTTAAAATACCACAAAGTTCATGTTCTTACCAAGATTAACCTGCTTTTCTGGAATAAATGCTCCTCAGGTTGTTGCAAGCCTTTGTTTAATTTCTAGAGTTCTGAAAAATTAATTTGGATAATTTTTGCAGTGTTCTCATTGCTTTTATCAGGAAGCAGATATTCTTTTTTTTTTTTAAATAGGAAGGACTTTTATTTTTTTTTCCTTTTTTTTGCCTGGAATTTTCTTTTTTTTTTATTATGTTATGTTAATCACCATACATTACATCATTAGTTTTTGATGTAGTGTTCCATGATTCATTGTTTGTGTATAACACCCAGTGCTCCATGCAGAGCGTGCCCTCTTTAATACCCATCACCAGGCTAACCCATCCTCCCACCCCCCTGCCCTCTAGAACCCTCAGTTTGTTTTTCAGAGTCCATCGTCTCTCATGGTTCATCTCCCCCTCCGATATCCCCCCTTCATTCTTCCCCTCCTGCTATCTTCTTTTTTTTTTTTTAACATATAATGTATATTTGTTTCAGAGGTACAGATCTGTAGGAGCAGATATTCTGAAGTCCTTTGCTATTCCATAAGTACTTCTGTACTGCTTAGTATTTTAAAGGGCATTCGGTTTTACCACTAGGTGGAAGTAGAGACTTGCAGACTTTGTTGTTCTGAATTAAATCACTATCTTCAAAGATTTCATTGTGAACCTAACTTATAGCAATACTGCAGTGCCTTGTTTATCAGATTGGGTCTCTGTTAATTCTCGTATTATATCATTTTAGCATTAGAATTTTTTTCTAACAAGGGGTGCCTGAGTGGCTCAGCTGCATCTTCATGATCAGGTCATGATCCCAGGGTCCTGACTGCATTGGGCTCCCTGCTCAGCAGGGAGTCTGCTTCTCCCTCTCCCTTTGCCCTTTCCCCCAGCTGGCGCTCACTCTCGCTCTCTCAAGTAAATAAATAAAATCTTTTTTTTTTTTTAAAAGAATTCTTTTCTAACAATAGCACAGTTTATATTTCTTCTTACTTTAAATAGTTAAAATTTTGGTTGGAATTTAATTGATTTTCGGGTAAAGTAATATCTTATTCATGAAAGCCCAAATTATAGAATCTTTGAAGTGAATTGCAATTTAAATCCTATTTATTGGGGAACCTGGGTGGCTCAGACAGTTAAGCGTCTGCCTTCGGTTCAGGTCATGATCCCAGGGTCCTGGGATCGAGCCCTGCGTTGGGCTCCCTGCTCAGCGGAAAGTCTGCTTCTCCCTCTCCCTCTGCCTGCCGCTCCCCCTGCTTGTGCTCTCTCTCACTATCTCTCTCTCCCTGTCAAATAAATAAATAAAATCTTTAAAAAAAATAAATGTTATTTATTATTTGATTAATAAATTGATTGTCAAAGATTATTAGGAAAATTGCTTTGAAGAAATGAGAGTAATTGTAGCATATTATAAAATTTGATAATAGTGTGAATTCTTGTGTCTGAAGGGAATGAAAAACTATTTTTAAGTAGACTTTGAGATTTTTTATGCTGAAAATATCTTTGGTGATAATATTCTTAGAGACTGTGTGCAAATTATTTTAAGCTATATATTTGTATATTACTGGATTAAGGACTCTCTGGCTGGAAACCTACTAATTTTTGAATATTTTCTTTAGTATACGAAATTCCTTCTGGGCGTTTCATGAGAGAATTGTGTGGCCACCTCAATATCATTTATGATCTTTGCTGGTCAGACGATGATCACTATATCCTTACCGCATCATCTGATGGCACTGCCAGGTTAGTATACTCGAGAAGTACTTACTGTGTATGTTGTTTGCCATCAAGGAAAGCAAAGAGACTATAGAGTGATATAACTCTTCTTATGCTTCAGTAATATTTTGCTTATCAAGGGACTGTCATAGAGATGCATCATACAGACTGACTGATTAGATCAGTAGTAGTGGGAAAACTTTTTCCTAAAGATGTTTTTATTAAATATATTTTATTTATGCAATACGTAAAGCTTCTCGTTCTCAGTGTCCTTAAATGATCATTATGTACACTGATTAATACTGTACACTGTTTGACATAAGGTAAACAGTTGATATTTTTTCCTAGAATATAAGCTTTTAATGGTAGGACTTCTGTCTTCTCTGTTAGCTGTGGGCAGGGGCCAGGCCTCAGTGATGCACAATGCATCATAGACGGCGAGGAACAGAAACCTTGCCTAAGACGAAATGGCATAAGGGGAAGAATAACTTAATTTATGTGGAGAAATTTTTGAGCGTTCTCAGACCCCAAAAATAACCTCTCTTGGAGTTTTCTGATACCTTGGGAACATCTTGCTCTAAGGGATGCACAAAATAAATTGAGATAAAGTACAGATGTTGGTAGACAGAGTTCAGAGCTGTGGCAGCTTGATGTGGAGCTGCTGAGTGTAGTGCCCCCTGCCCTGCTGCTGGGGCTGCGCACTCCCTCTGTAAGGGCTCACGGCAGAACAAGTGCTGAACTCGATTTTTGCCTTTCTCCTTTTCTCATTAAAGCAAAAATCCTCTTCAGATTTCTTCCGGTTAGTGAAAACAGGTACTGACGTAGGTCTTAGGTAAATGCAAAGTGGTGTAATGCAGACTTTGAAAAGCAGGGAATACCTACCTGTGAAGTGAATATGTACCTTATGTTTTAAGAGTTTTATAGATTGTCAATATTTGCATTTTTCAGAATGTCAGTTATAAAATAATTTAACCCTTTCCAACTTAATAAGTATCATAATAAAATTTTTAAAGCTACTTTGTAAAATTTCCTTGACACTGTTTTAGCTGCTTGTTCTACCTTGAGTGTATTCTAAATGTATTATTAGGCAGTTTTTCAAGATGCTTTATATTATATATGTATTATATATGTCATTTAATTTGATTCCAACAAATGTAGGTGGATACACATAAATTTTTTTTGATCTCTGTACACCAGGAAGCTGATATTTAGAGCAGTTTGGGATGCCCTCTTATTTACTTCTGCTTCCTGCTTTTTTAACAGACACCTCTAGTGTCTGCGTCCTTTCTATTAATCTTATCAGCTTCCTTTTTATTATAAAATGTCTAATTGATTAAGATGTTATCATTACTGTTTAGTATTTAAATGCAAAAGATGGTAATTGGTGAGACTTGATTTCCTTCCCTGTGTAGCTGGGCACCTGCTGTTAGTCTCTCTTAATAGGATCCTTCAGAACCTCTGCTCTGGGGGTGCCTGGGTGGCTCAGGTCATGATCCCAGAGTCCTGGGATCAAGCCCCGCATTGGGCTCTCTGCTCAGCGGGAAGCCTGCTTCTCCCTCTCCCACTCCCCCTGCTTGTGTTCCCTCTCTCGCTGTCTCTCTCTCTCTGTCAAATAAATAAATAAAATCTTTAAAAAGAAAAACCTCTGGTCTGTTTGTTCTCTAAACAAAGCCATTTTGTCCGATGCCCAGTTGTACTAGAGAAAAATTCATAACCTTGCAAAGGCGTGACTGGATTTGTAAGTCTTAAAATCACCTGAGCTCTCATCTCAGCCAAGCAAGCCTTTTCCTTAGCTTTATTATGCAGCTATCTTTTCTTATTCCTCTGGCAGCACATCCAAGCCTTAGGGCACTTCAGGTTCTCTACACTGAGTCAAATCTTCCCGCTTTCATTAGCTGACTGCCTTCAACTTACAGTGAAATTATGTCAGACATGAACTTCCTGTATCTCCCTCTGGTTTCCCACCCAATATCTATAAATGTACCCATCTTTATCTCTGTCCGCTGCTCTTAACAAAGACGTATGGGTAAAGACACCTTTCCGGCCACTCTTTGACATGTGCTTTTAATCTCAGTCCTTCAACCTGCAATTCTGTTTCCTACCTCTCTTCTCTCTTCACTATCTTCCTTTCTTTTGATTTTGTCCTCTCATCTTAAAAATATGCTCAGTTCTCCTTGTCTTAAGAAATATTTTCCTCAGTTCTTCCTGCTTTCCAGACTACCACATTATTTTTCTTTCTACAACATCAAGAACGTTCTGCACATGTTGTCTTCAGCTCAACCCAGTGAATCTGGCCCTTACATCTACCCTGCTAGATCAGCCTTCTTTTAGAGGTCAGCAGTTTCTTGCTGATTTTCAGATCCAGTGGCCATTTTGGGTCCTTACCCTGTTTGCTTTCACTGCAGTAATTATTGACCAGTTTTAAAATATTTCCAACTAATGGTTTCATTAACAGCCTCTTATGTTTGCTTTTTATGACTCTGGCCAGTTCTTTTTCCCTGTCTCTCCTCCCTCTTCCTCTGTCTATTCTCTCTAGATGTTCATTCCCAGAATCCTCCTACTTGAGCATCTTCCCTGGTTTGCTGTGCTCCTCCTGGTCTCTCTCATCTTCGCGAGCTTTGAATCTCACTTCTATAGGCTGACTCCCACTTTTTTTCTGAGTTTCACTTTCTGTTACTCTGTCTGGACTGCCAGTGGCACCTCACATCCAAAACCAGACTTGCTGATATCACCAAACTGCTTTTCTCTTTTAGTCCTCTTGTGGATTTTTTAATGGCATCCACCCTGTCTCCCAAGCCAGGAACCCAAAGTAGCACTCATTTCTTTTTTTCTTCCCACCATTCCTTCCCATATCCAAGCAGTACCGTAGTCTGTCAGTTCGCCCTCCTAAAAGCCTCACCATTCGGTCACACCCTTTCTATCCTCACTGCTGTTACCTTCATTCAGGCCCTTGCTGTCTGTCTATCTCTTGCTTAAACTGTTGGTGCTAAACTTTCCCACTGCTCAGTCTCTTATTCTTCCATCTTCCCACAACCCTTTTTCATAATGCCCTGATTTTCAAAAGTCTTTGACTCCCACAGCCCTTTTGAAAATGTTCCAGCTCCATATAGCATGGCCTAACAGGCACATTTCTCATTGACCCTGCATCCTTCTCCTGTGCACTACCATGTACCCTTGGCCTCACCCACACAATCTTCTGAAACGTTCTTGGCATCTTACCCTCTTTGGTATCTCCATGCCTCCTCTTCCTGTGCTTAAGGGCCCTTTTCCCAGCCTTCCTGCCCAACTCAGTCACTCAGCAGACATTTAAGCGCTGTTTGTGAGCCGCTCTGGGCTCATAGTCATCATTTAAAACCCAGCTCAGATTTATCCATTTCTTGAAGTCTCTTGGAGTTTTCCGCACAGCATATAATATATTGTAGTAAAGTACACTTTTTTCTTTATGTAGCTTTGATACTGATTGAGGGCTCTTTATATCATAAAAATATTTGTGTAGGATTAGCTGACTGAAGAGAGAAACATTGTGGCTAGAACCAAAAAGAGTGAGGTTTTTGAAAGACGTGTAAGGACTACTTAAAATGAATAAGCTAAAGTCAAAGGAAGATAATTAGAGTTGCTAATGCCCTGAGTGGCAGAGGCATGAGCTTCTGGCCCCGTCGTCTTCTGCCTTCCTGGTTACTATTAGTGGCTCCTGAGTAACTGTTTCCCACTGGTTAGCTCTTTGCCATGTAGGTTAACTGAAATCTTCTTTAGTTATCTTCAGTACAATCTGTGTTTTTCTCTAACCAACAGCTCCTCATATAATCAGACTTTTTCAACATGTAATGGCTCCCAGTTAGGCGCATATGTCCCCATGTTGCCCCTCATCACACATACTGTTGTAACTGCATGTTTTTTCTTTCCCAATTCTAATAATTTTTTTGTGTGCTCATCTAGTCTTTACAAATTTGTGTATTTCCTTATTCTTTGTAATCAGCCTGTTTTTTCCCCAAACTCATTTATACATTTCTTTTGTTCTTGGACTCGACCGTTGTTTGCTTAACTAAAACCCATCATTGATACCAGTTAGGTCTTTACATAAAAGTCTTCATTTTTATTTTAAAATACTGTGTCTATTTTAATTGACCTGCTTTTAAGATATGATTGTTTCATTTCTGCCTGTTATATAGTATTTCAAATAATACTGCTAAGATTTTTAAGCAAGCAACTGAAGTTTTTATCTTTTAAACAATCTTCTTTTAACAATCTTAATCACAAATTAGTGACTTTGTTGTTTCAGTAAGTACTGTATTTCATGTAGCATATATTCATTGAAAGTATTACTATGGTAAAAATGTTTATGCAGGGACACACGTGCTTTATTTTCATTTGAAAACATGTTCTTTCACTTCCTCCATTATTAGTTTGGATTCTTAGTAATTGAAGATCATATCCTGTATTTGAAGCAGCTGCTGAGAAAACTCATAGAATGTTATTCTTGAATGGCAACTGTATTTTTTCCTTTCATCCATAATTTTGAAAAGGACTTAATTTGCTTTAGTTCTTAGGTCATAATTAAAAGAATGAACTATAAATCCCCCTATTAAAATTAATATATTCTTTTAATTCTAATAATTTAATAAAATCCAGTGTTCCATACTCATTTAGCACCTTTCTTTTGCTAGATTTTGCCTATTTTTACACTGACTAGAAATGTGGAGTATCTAACATAACAGTTTTAACCCTTAGGGTTTACTCTTTTGTCAAGACTGCAGCAATCACAGTAATACTACTTTTTAAAAATTGTTATTTAGAGGAAGAGATAGTAAAAGTGTTGAACATAAATTGAGTGTTTAATGTAAGATAGTCTGTTTTCTATCAAAATACAGTTATTTTAATCTTATTTTACTCAGGTATCAATTACTCAGTAATTTCAATATGGCTTTTAAGACTTTGAGATCATGATCATTATCTAGGCTTGGAAATTACAAATACGAAGTTAATAGATATCTTGTTCTCTAAACCTCCACTAGTGAGCACTTTGCAAAAGCAATATGCACAACCTAAATGGGGAATAATTAAAGCTCTTCCATATTTTATTTTTTGTGGGTAATGTACTGAATGCAGTTACCAACTATTCCATGTGTGTTTAATCAATGTCAAAAATAGGTTTTTAAAAAAACATATCCAAATATAATTTTTCATTTTACAATATAGATTAAAATTAGTAGACAAATTAACCATTATGCTTGATAATAACTAATAAATAGCTTTGTTAAAATGTAAAGAACCCCAGCCATCAAATATTTGATCACATTTTTGATTGTTATAAAATGTAGTTTACCATTGGTTATTGTCATTGCTTACTTAAGTTCCATTGGCTGTGTTGGTTTTTAGAGAAAGTTACAGAAACTTCTGCCTTTCGGAAGCAATATTTAACTTTTTATCCTTTCCCAGGATATGGAAAAATGAAATAAATAATACCAATACTTTCAGAGTTTTACCCCATCCTTCTTTTGTTTACACGGCTAAATTCCATCCTGCTGTAAAAGAACTGGTGGTTACAGGCTGCTATGATTCTGTGATACGGATATGGAAGATTGATATGAGAGAGGATCCTGCCATATTGATCCGACAGTTTGACACGCACAGGAGTTTCATCAACTCTCTCTGTTTTGATATTGAAGGTATGTCAGAATATATTCCAAAAGAAGGCTAGTTGCATGAAGAATTTTTAAAAATAATTTTTGTTCACTAAGATAATCTTTTTAAGCTTGAGAAGGATTTTGTGTATTGATGATTGTACATTTTTGGATTTATGTGTATTTTGCAGATCATATGGTAGACCTGGACACGGATTTAGCAGTGAGGGAGTTTTGTTTGTAATTTTAAAGTCATTAAATTCTGGGGGCACCTAAGTGGCTCAGTCGGTTAAGCGTCTGACTCTTGATTTCGGCTCGGGTCGTGATCTCAAGCCCTATGTTGGGCTCTGTACTCAGCGTGGAGTCTGCTTGTCCATCTCTCTCTGCTCCTCCCACTGCACGTGTTCTCTCAAATTAATAAAATCTTGTTAAAAAATCATTTAAGTCATTAAAATCTTAAATGTTTAGATTGAACTAATCTTTGCTGTAACAACCAGTCATACCAAATTTCATAAATATATTTCATTGGATTGGTGATTACCCCCTCAGTAGGCTTTTTTTTTTTTCCCCCCTGGTAGGTTTCTTATAAGTGGCTTTTGAGGTAAAGGGTTAAAATGAGGAAGAAGAGGGAAATACCAAAAGAATATTAGGTAGATAGCAGGGGAAACCTGTATTTACACCATATACTGTGTACATTGTGCACTGAGCACTTCCGCATTTAGCTAACAGTTAATAGGTATGTATTATGTAGTTGTCTGAATGTATCTTAAGAAACATTCTATTGTTGGCAGTACTTAGGATGTTTCCAGCTTTCTCCTACCATGAACATGATTTCTGTGAATAGTATAGATACACACATACATATGCATACATATATGTATATACAAAACTTTGTTGCACTGTTTTATAATTATTTTCTTAATATAAATTCCCAAACCTGAGGTTGCCAGGTCAAACATTTCTGGAGTCCTTGCTATGTGCTGTAATGTTTTAAGTACTTTACGTGTATAAACTAATTTATTCCCCACAAACCTTTATGAGAATGGTATATAGTCACATTTACATTATTTCAGACACTGATATGTAGACTACAGCTATAATTAATTAGTATAGGATACAGATCAAAATGACAATACTGCTAATATATTCAGTTTAACTACAAAGATGCTAAGAAATTAGAACACATTTAGGAAAAGTCAACCAAGGATAGAAAGGTGTCCGCAAACTTTATCATAGTAGAAGTAGCTCAGATTATAAAAGACATGAATTTCTTCAAATACTTGACTAAGATATCCATATGTGAAACAAAAAGAAATCAGACTGTGTTGCTCCAGTAGGTGGAGACGGGACCAAAGCTACCACAGACAGGTATTCTTTGTTCAGAATTGGAAAGAACATTCTAGTGTATAGAGCAGTTCATCAGTTGAATAGCTGCTTTGTAAAATATTTTCACAGTTACTGAACAACCATCTGTTCATGATGGTGTGGAAGATATTCCTGAGTGAGTATAAAGTTGAATTTGATGGTCTCTTAGGTCCCATTCAACTATAAGATGGTTTGACTCTAGGAATATATGTTAAACTGGAATACCTGTCATTTATCATTTTATTCATTCCCTGATCGTTTATTGAGTTTCTGCTGGTCTCGGGCATTTTGCTAACATTATATATTAGAATATAGGTGTTTTTCCAGGAATATAAAACAGATTATATAGGTTAATAAAGGTGAGCATTATAGATTTGTATTGGATAATTCAGATGATTTGTTTGGCTGTAGAATTTGGACCATATACAGATGCAATGAGATGCTCATTTCTTTTTGTATTCAATTTCCTGTAAGTGACAAAAGGGAAATACATCATCCAAAGTAATTCACAAGAGTGAAGAATTCATTTAAAGATACTTGGGATTTGACTATGAGTTGTATTTGGGTTTTTATTTACTTTTTTTTTTCTTTTTACTAAACTGTTTAATAGCCCTCTGATTCTTTGTTATACTGGGATGTGTTTTCCCAGTTTCGTTTTGTTTCTACCTGTGTGTAGTATTCATAAGTGAGTGATTTTATTTTTTTAAATAGGTCATCACATGTATTCAGGAGATTGCACTGGGGTGATTGTTGTTTGGAATACCTATGTCAAAGTTAATGATGTGCAACATTCAGTGCGCCACTGGAGTATAAATAAGGTATAAAATCATATTTCATACTTGGGGTTTAATTTAAAAAATTAGAAAAAAATTGAACCACATGACTTTAGAAATAAGGCATCAGGACATTCTTTCTCTCTTCTGAAAAATACTAAGTTTTTCTCAGTCCCTACAAAGTCAGTTATCATTGACTAATGATCTAGTCTTCCTGATGGCTAATTGATGATATAGCAACCTAGTGAAAATTTTCATTTTGGCCAAACTTTACTTTATCTTTGAACCCTAATTTGTGATATGACATTCAGTGATCCATTACTGGAATTATGCTAAAATTAAGCACATGTTATATTACCATCTATAAGTAATAACTTATGTTTTCTGCTGTTCATTTTCTTTTTTGACCCCATAACATCACTCTAAAAACAGTGTGCTCAATGTTTTGTTGTCTTTTACAATTACATAATCAAAAGTATGTAATTATGAGTAGGGTCTATCATTTACTCACAATAATTGTTTTCATTTGAATTTTGCCAAGTAGGCAGAAACGAATGATCTTTCATTTTGGGAGTAGAGTGTTTTTAGGGTGGCTGGTATATTAAGCAATTTTATTGGTGCATATTCAGTATTTTTACTTAAAAATACAAAATGAATTATTAAACCTGAGTTTTATATAAGTTGATATAGTTTGTCTTATATACTATACTTTTGTTCTTCAATTTTTTGTTCTTCTATTATAACAGTTGTCCTCATTTGAAAAAAAGACACTCTAAGTGAAAAAGAATTTTTATGAACTTTAGTTAAATCTGTTGAATCTATCAGATCCATTTTAAAAACTGTTTATTCTATTTTTAGTCATTTTCATCTAGTCTATAGATTAATGATTGATGGCTTGGGATTCATGTGGTAGCCTAATTTCACACACTTTGAAAAGAACTTTCTAATTACTTACATACCTAAGGGACTGACAAAACTCCAAAGGCACCTTTTCCAGTAATTTGAGTGTACAGTGCAAAGTCTGCTATTTATGTTAAAAATCATGTGTTTCTTTACCTTAATATAGTAACTAAAAGGCAAATTTATCTTCAAAATCTGCAGCCTGGAGGTGACTTGAGACAGTCCAAAATAAAAAGTTAGAAAATGAGCTGGAATATCTTTTGGTAGCTAATGCCCTAGGACAAACTGTAGACCCTGATTGCTTACCTGGTTCTCTTCAGGCAGCAGTGTGAGGAATGCTAAATTATACTCATCTGTCCCTTAAGATGACGTGTCCATGTGCTGTGGCACACACTCCTTGACATGGGACATGGGCTTCAAAACGAGGGCTTTTTTTTTGTTTGAGTATGAATATGGTAAGAAAAAATAGAGAGGAAATCACTAACAGATACCACAAATGCTAAATCATCTGGCACTTTTGTCAAATTCATGTCTAACACGTAACTCGTTAGACAGTTTTGTGTTTTTTGATTTTGCACATTTGCATCTGTGTGAGTGTTGCTCAGACCCCCAGCAGTGCATCCCCACCCCCAAATTGTTATAGTGCAGTCACTATACCCCCCCATCTGTGCTGTCAGTGTTTGACTTTTTTTGGTAACTTTTACAAAGCAGCTAACAGTAGGCCTTCCTGTCAGTGGTAGCCTGGGCTTAGCTGCTGAGACTCGGACTGTAGCAGTTTGGACTGCACCTCTGCTGGTGCCAAACCACCTCCGAAGAGGAGACCTCAGAGAAGGAGACAAAACATATTAGCGGGTCCTTGAAGGAAGAGAAGGCTAATTCAGAATTCTGCCTGAAGGTTAAAGCAGGCTTTCTTCGGACCCTCTGGACTTCAGTCTAAGCAGTTTCACATTTGCAGGTTTTTTTCTTTTTTCTAGTAATCCACACAAGAAGGACCTTTGGTAATTTTTCCTTTGTGAGGCTCATCCAGGCAGATTTTCCTTCAGTATGTAGGTCTTTCTTGACATCATTTGTCAGGCTGCCTTAAATAACTATCAAAAAAAAAAAAAAAATTCTGGAGGCTCAGTGCCCTTAAGATTCAATTCCACCTGTAACCTACCGCCATGGCCGAGGAAACCATTGCTGCTGGAGGGGTAATGGTCATTAATACTGCTTTACACAAGGTACTGAAGACTGCCCTCATCCACCATGGCCTAGCACATGGAATTCGCAAAGCTGTCAAAGCCTTAGACGAGTGTGAGGCCCATCTTTGCATGCTTGCATCCAGCTCTGATGAGCCTACGTATGTCAAGTTGGTGGAGGCCCTTTGTGCTGAACACCAAATCAACGTAATTAAGGTTGATGACAAGAAACTATGGGAATGGGTAGGCCTCTGTAAAACCGACAGAGCGGGGAGAACCCCATCAAGCCGTTGGTTGCAGTTGTGTGGTGGTTAAAGACTATGGCAGAGTCTCAGGCCAAGGATGTCATCGAGGAATACTTCCAGTGCAAGAAATGAACAAATAAAAAGCTTGATTCTTGTTCCTCCAAATAAATAAATAAAAAAAAAAAAAAAAACCCTAAAATTACAATCTAAATTAAATGATCTCAGAATAAGATGCCAGTAACTTATCTTTTTCAGGACGAAGTGGAAGTAAGTGCATAAAGAAATAATCTCAGACTGAAATAAAACTTGAAAGTTAATTCTATACTAACTTTTGAAGTCATAAAAATTAGAAGTTTTTCATGTATGATGGTAAGCAAAAAAATACAAAGTTAGAAGTTGTGTTTTAGGAAGTGCTTATTTGGGAATACACTACAAAAATGCTAACTAAATGTGGCATTACATAACAGTCAAAAAATACATACTATCAGCTTTATTTTCAGCCTATAACTGAAGTTACTGGGAATCCTTTCGCCAACCATTTTAAAGGATCCTAAAATTGCAATCGAAAATGACTTAATTTTGTGCTCTAAAAGGGGCTTCATATTAGACAAACTGTACAGTGATAATATTTTATAATCTTTTTTAATCATTTTAGGAAATTAAAGAGAGTGAGTTCAAGGGGATTCCCATAAGTTATTTGGAGGTTCATCCCAATGGAAAACGATTGTTAATCCATACCAAAGACAGTACTTTGAGAATTATGGATCTCCGAATGTAAGTATATTTCTGTATTGACAGGTTAAGCACTCATAGAATAAGAAATGAATTAATGCATACTTATAAAATGCAGCTGTGGTTCTCATGTAGATAGTTTTTCCCCTCAGAGGACATCTTACAGTGTCTAGAGGCATTTTTGAGTGTTAGTATTTAGTGGATAGAGACCAGAGATCCTACTAAGCATCCTACAGTTTATGAGACAGCCCCCCACAACAAAGAATTTTCTGGCTCAAAATGTAAATAGTTCTGAAGCTGAAATGTAGTCAGTTGCTTTTTGTTGTCACAATTAAAAAAAAACAAACAGGAAACCTCTGCTTAGAATATCTTTTATCTCTATGATATTGGTATAGCATAGTACTACGATATTATACTGTAACAGAATGAGACAGCTTTTGGTTAATATATCCTTGTTTTTCCTATTTTGTTTTATTTCTAAATAAGGAAAGGCAATTTCCTTAATGTAAAAAACAGAAACAGAGTTCTGGAAAAATCAGCATAGTATTTTGATGTACTTTTGTTTTGGTGTTAAGCATACCAATAAAACAAATGAGAACTCTGGTTTTATTAGATTTCATTATTGTGTTTAGAAAGGAAAATGTGATCTATACTAGTTTATTTTGCAATTATCTTGTAGGGCTAACTGTTAAGGCCTTCAGTGTTTACGTAGAGCTTTTCAGGATATTGGCATCAGTACTATGGGAAAATGATTAGCAGAGTAGTTCGTCAGAAGTTTATAATCTAGTTATAGTGCCTCCAAAATAACACAAAACATTTAATTAGGCTAAAATGTGAGGTCTTCTAGGACTGGAATCTGCTTATTCTTTTATACATAGTACTCATGTCATGCTTGAGAGATAGCAAGTACTTGATATCTCACTTATTTTAGTGACTCTAAGTACTTAAAAGGATTATATCTTTCATGGCAGCAGGTAGTTGTAAGGATGGCTGTACTACAGCCTTGTGTTAAAGGCTCTATGCGGAGGCTGGCCTTTGAGCTCCATCTTAAGGGATAGATAGAATTTAGACAAGATAGAAGTTTGTCAGGATGGTGGAAAACCTGAAAAACCTGGAATAAAATTCAGAGGAAGGATAATAGAAGTTGTGATCAAGGCAGGGTGAGTAAGTCTGTAGGAACATTAATTTCTTGATAAGGAGTGCTGAAAAAAAAATTTTTCAGAAATAGAGATTAGTGCCAGGTTTTAGAAGGCCAGGCCTAAAGAATTTGGTTATTCTCTTTTTAAGTAGTGTATAGTATTCAGCTTAGAATTCTGCTTGGGCTCTAGAGGCTAACTGCTTAGAGTCAAATAACATCTTGTCCGTCCCTGACCAACTGATTAACCATTTTGAGCCTCTCTTTCCTCCTCACTCAAATGGGGGAAATAATATACCACATTCATAAGGGTTTTGTGGGGAATAAATTAGTTTACGCGTATATAAAGTACTTAAAGCATCACACCATATAGCAAGGACTCCAGAAACGTTTGAGCCAGTGACCTCAGGTCTGGGAATTTATGTGAAAATAATTATAAAACAGCGAAAAAATATATATACCCAAGATTGTTCATAGAAATCATGTTCATGGTAAGGGAAAGCTAGAAACATCCTAACTGTTGTCCCACAGTAGATTTCTTAAGGTATGTTTAGACAGTGATATAATATATACCTACTAAAATGAATACATAATCTATATTTTCTGACACAGAGGGCCATTATTCATGATTTATTGTTAAATGGGGGGAAAAAAAGCATATAATGGGACACTGTATGTAATGTCCTTTCTGTAAACCAGGGATGATAATAGTACTTGCCTGGCACATAGTGAGCACTAAAATAATGTTAGCTATTGGGGCACCTGGGTAGCTCAGTTGGTTAAGCATCTTGCCTTCAGCTCAGGTCATGATCCTGGGGTCTTGGAATTGAGCCCCACATGGGGTTCTCTGCTCAGTGGGGAGCCTGCTTCTACCTCTCCCTCTGCTGCTCCCCCTGCTTGTGCTCTATCTCTCTCAAATAAATAAAATCTTTTAAAAAAGTAATAATGTTAGCTATTATTCACAAATGAAAAAGTCTAGAAGGTTATATATCATATTTAATAGATGATTTAATGATATTTTTGTCTAATATTCCTGCAAGGATCCAACTATTTGTTGTGTGACTTTAAAAATTTATCACATGGGAAAAATATAAGAATATAAAAATCTTGTACATTTTTAAGTAACCAACTCAAATGCTACTCCCATAAAGTAGACTCTCTCCTCATAGCTAGAAATAATCACTTGGGACGCCTGGTGGCTCAGTCAGTTAAGCGTCTGCCTTGGGCTAGGTCATGATCCCAGGGTCCTGGGGGGACTATGGGGCTCCCTGCTCAGCGGGGAGTAGGCTTCTCCCTCTCCTTCTGCCCCTCCCCCCCACTCATGCTCTCTCCCTCTCTCTCTCTCAAATAAATAAAATCTTAAAAAAAAAAATCGCTTTTATCCAAATCTGCAAAGTACTCATTTTGTTCTCTTGTGGCACTTTCTACATCCAATTTCTGTTTCATATTGATGCATTCCTTCTCTCTCCTGCTAAATTATAAACTCCCTGAGCTCTGGAACTCTCTCTTCTTTATTCTGCATCCATCATAGAATGTCTCCCATGTAACAGATTCTCAAAAAATTGTTTGTTAAATGCAAATGAAGTATTTAAAAGAAACAGTTTTTTTAACTACCAGTCTTTTCAATGGGTAAGTTAGGTTACATTTGTGAAATCTTTTTTGTTTGTAGATTAGCGGCAAGGAAATTTGTAGGTGCGGCAAATTATCGGGAAAAGATTCATAGTACTTTGACACCATGTGGGACTTTTCTCTTTGCTGGAAGTGAAGATGGTATAGTATATGTTTGGAACCCAGAAACGGGTAAATATTTCATTGATCTTAAAAAATTTGAGGTGTTTGTTTTTATTTTTGAAGAAGTGTGGAAACTACCATTATATGGAGTAATTTTCAAGAAAATTCTGATTTCAGGTTCTCAATTATGTTTTTCCAAATGGGAGAACTGATAATGGGACTCAGCTGCAGTCTAAATTCGTATTAAATTCTGTTTTTATTGTTTTGATATCTTCATGGATTTAGAATTTCTCATTATAATTCAAGGTTTATTCTTTCCTTGCCTATAATAAGGTATTAGCAATCTTAAGAGAAGTGTTTTTTATTGTGGTTGACACAATATTAGTTTCAGGTGTACAACAAACATGATGATTCAACAATTATATACATTTCAAAATGCTCACAATGGTAAGTATAGTTACCATGTGTCACCATACAAAGTTATTACGGTATTATTGACTATATTCCCTATGCTCTATTAAGAGAAGTGCTTAATTACGATTGTAATGCAAAATACAGAATATTTATAACCTGAATTTGGAATGTAAGTGGGTATACAAATGGCTAAATATCTGTAATATATTTTTTATTAGAAATAAACATATTCCTGTCAAAGGTTTGGTGTCTGAAACTTAATCGCAATTTACCTGGGGCTCCTGACTGGCTCAGTTGATAGAGCTTGCGACTTTTGATCATTGGGGTCGTAAGGTCCAGCCCCACATTGGGTATAGAGATTACTTAAAAGTAAGATTCTTAAAAAAGAAAAGCAAAAGCAATTTTGCTCAATTACTGTAATTCATGTTTTCCCAATACAATAAATCAGTACATTGGGAAGTTCATTTCTGCCTCATCTTTGCTTTTCAAAAGAAAAGCTAAAACCACATAAACACTTTTTAGCAATAAATTGAGAGAATTTTATAAAATATAAAATATCTGTAATCAGTAGTATTTGGTTCACTGTGTTTATTCTCTTGATTTTTTTCCCCTAAGTTTTTATTTAAATTCCAGTTAGTTAACGTACAGTGTAATATTAGTTTCAGGTGTAGAATTTAGCGGTCCATCACAACACCTGGTGCTCATCACAGCACGTGCTCTCCTTAATTGCACATTGTCTCCATCTTTAAGCGTTTTGACTAGTTGGTTCGCTTAGGGTTTTTTTTTTTTTCTTACTGTGTTTTGATACTTTAGCATCAGTTTGGAAGTGTTAAATCTCTTTTCTCCCTCAATAATTTGATCTTGGTTCTTTGATTTTTGAGTTCCGGTTTTCATAGGTTCCTTAGACCTCTGCTGTAGGCCTCTTTTAGCCATTAATAATCATATGTATCTTTGAAGCAGGTGGTACCTCAGTCTCTGGAAAAAAAATAGAAAAATGAATTCCCCACCAAACCTCCTTCAACCAGTGTCTTCAGTTTTAGAGCCTGCAGTTCCTCCCAGAGTTCTCTCTGAGTTGTTATTAGTTGGCATTTGCTCAGCTGTCAGATTTGAGTCAGGTACTTCTCTCCTGCTAAGCTCTTTTTTTTTTTTTTTTTTGGTGCCTTGAAAACTTCACTGAAGAGGTTGGGATGAGAAGTAGAGGAGGTCCAACAGGATGAAAAATAATTATTTAATATGAGTTACTCAACTATTTTTAAGTAATCAGGGTTTTCATGTAAATAATGTGAGCTTTGTTATTACTATAACTGTTTTTAGTAAGTTAAAGAATAATCTAATGAGAGATATTTGAGAAAGTACAAATTATTGCGTGTCTTTTCTTATTTAGGAGAACAAGTAGCAATGTATTCTGACCTGCCATTCAAATCACCCATTCGAGACATTTCTTATCACCCACTTGAAAATATGGTTGCATTTTGTGCATTTGGGCAGAATGAGCCAATTCTTCTATATATTTATGATTTCCATGGTAAGTTCACTGCTGATAAGAAAAGAATATTTTAAGTAACCTTTACTTTTAGACTAAACCAGGAATCATGAGCTTTGTGAAAACTATCAATCTTTGTATTAATAAAGTTCTCTTGAATATATTTTAAGAAACAGATTAAATAGATTATAACATTTTATTTTTCCATAAGCACTATTATTATGGAGTTTAAATATCAGCAAAGGTACACATAAATGGTTGTGCCCTTTTGTTGGAATCACAGAAAGGTAATCATCACTTTCTTTCTAAATTTAAATAAATAAAATTCACCTAAAAATTATTTGGGAATGTGTTAACTAAATTTAAAAGGTAAACAACGTTTAGGAAGTGTAGGGATCTTTAATGTTTTCTGTTGAATATTTAGTTTCTTATTCCATGTTTTTGTTTTTCACTAAAGTACAAAGTTGTAATAAGCTATAGTTTTAAGAATTTCTTAGCCTAAAAGGAAGGTAAAAACATCAAATGTCAGAGAAAATAAGATCTGGAATTAGAAATTTAAAGTCTTTTTCTACTCTAAAATTACACTATTCTGTCTTTCTGAGAAAAAATAAGGAAATAAAGACTCTGGACACATTTTTTTCAGGAATAAGATGGTATTAGAATTATTTGGATTTATGCTATTTTTAAACATTTCCTTAATTATTTAATTTCTGTCCTGAAATTAGGATTTCACTGTTCTGCACTGTATGTACTCATGGTGCTGTCACTCCCAAAACTGCAGTTCCTTTTCTTTAATATTAAATCTTGTTCAAAAATAAACGGTCATCATTAGTCTCTGATTTGTTTAGGATGTCATGTATCATCATTGAGTGTTTTTGCTAAGCTAGGATGGCTTACATACAATATCTTAAATGCCTAAATATACAAATATATACATATATATACACACAGACACACACATATATGTAGATAACATTAATGTGGGATTATTTGGCAGAGAGTCTTAAATTTAAATGAAATGTGAGTGGTTATTGTGTTAATACAGATATTGGTTAGCAGTTAATTGGTTATTGGTTAATGGTTGTGAGAAGTGCTAAATTATTAGATAGTTAAGTTCTTTTTTTTTAATTTTTTAAATTTTATTATGTTATGTTAGTCACCATACAATACATCATTAGTTTTTGATGTGGTGTTCCATGATTCATTGTTTTTGTATAACACCCAGTGCTCCATGCAGTACGTGCCCTCCTTAATACCCATGACCGGGCTAACCAATCCCCCCTCCCCCCTCCCCTCTACAACCGTTTGTTTCTCAGAGTCCATAGTCTCTCATGGTTCATCTCTTCCTCCGATTTCCCCCCCCTTCATTTTTCCCTTCCTTCTCCTAATGTCCTCCATGCTCTTCCTTATGCACCCCAATGTTCATAACAGCAATGTCCGCGATAGCCAAACTGTGGAAAGAGCCGAGATGCCCTTCAAAAGATGAATGGATAAAGAAGATGTGGTCCATATATACAATGGAATATTACTCAGCCATCAGAAAAGATGAATACCCAACTTTTACATCAACATGGATGGGACTGGAGGAGATTATGCTAAGCGAAATAAGTCAAGCAGAGAAAGTCAGTGATCATATGGTTTCACTTATTTGTGGAACATTAGACAGTTACGTTCTAAACCTGAAATTGTTGATCATTGTATGGATTTTATTATGCTCTTCCAGGCAAATTATATTAGAAAAAAATATGTAAGATTTAGATTTATTTTGAAAAATTTTACCAAGAAGAAATACCAAATTTCCCTTACATATTCAAACCTGGTGTCTAGTTCAAACATGTGTCCTGAAACAGGCCGTTCTCTGTGTGTACTCTCACTGTTCACGTGACAGGGAGTCACACCTAGGTGCTGCATCCGCATCACTGGGCCTGGTGTACAGAAGGAGGCAGCACGGTTATTTCCTCAGAACCTTTAGAGCTTTCACAACAGTCTCCATTCAATTCCTAATGTGCTTTGTAGGCTTTTGAAATTTTCACTACAAAGGCAAGTGGAAGTTCCACTCTTTATCTTTCTTTCTTCAGTATTTTTTCTGTCATTGATCAAGGTTTTCCATCATTAGCCCAGTTGGGTTTGCCAGTTTGGTTTTTAGACAGTAGGCATTTACACCAAGAAGTCCATTCTAGAAGCATAAGCAGAAAGAGCAAAGCGTTTTTAGGAGTTCAAAAGCAGAGGTTTTAGGTTCAATTCTGTTTCTGTAGTGACCTTTTGCAAGCCTGTTGCCTTCCTGAAGCTCCATTTCCTCATCTGGTAAGTGGCACTGCTACTGTCCACACCTGTGCTACCTCAGGGGGCCATTTTTGAGGTTACAGTGAGGCAGGGACTGTGAAAGTACTTTGTAAATTGATAAGGACTATAATAAAACAAGGAAAAAGGTAAAATGGGTGGTTACCATGCTCATTTAACCCATACATGCTTGATTTTATGGGAACTGAGGTTTTAATATGCTTTTAAGCACCTCTATATGAAAGGGAATTGAAAAAGTTTTTTTCCACCTCTTTATTCATTCTGTTGGCAGCCTTTTTTTTTTTTTTTTTAATTAGAATGTGTACCTTTCTGGTTCAGTTGTATTAGAAAATAAATGCATGAAGTTAAGGACATTATATCTGTACTGTATTAATGTAGAAAAGGAAGGAATTCAAAGTGTTTCAGAAATTAAAATGTTCAAATAATACACATGAAATTAAAATTATTTTGTGCCATGATTTTAGAACACAATTTTCAGTATACTAACACCTTTACAAACAAAATTCAAAATGTTTCAACACATTTTCCTAACTCTTTGCTGCCTATTTTTAAAATGAGGAAGCTTAGGAAGAAGTTACATAATCCCAAGCAATCCAAGATTTAGCACAGTTCTTGTGTATGGTATATAGTCATAAGAAAACAAAAAGTTGTTTTAGACTCTGAAGTATTTTACTCATTAAATGCAAGCCATAATCATCAAGTCAATAGTATTTAGATTTTTCATTAAAACTTACAATATTTATTATTAACTTGTTAGAGGTTTGCCTTATATCTTACTTATTTTTAATGCAGGAATATTTTGCCCAAGCTTTCTTGGCTTGAAAATAAAGTTTACATGTTATCTTTACATAAGTGTTTTTAGTGGTATAAAATTTGAAAGATATAGAACAGTTACATGATTTTTAAATAGTATTTATCAGAGCTGCTCATACATTTAGGTATTTTTCAAGGAAAATGGAGCAAACTCATTTTTTTTTTTTTTGTAAGTTAAATAAGCTGCGAATGAGACCACAATGGTAGCTAAATGTATCATCTATCTTTCAGTTCTAGCAAAATCTGTGAAGAGTCAGCAAGCATCTTTCCCTGTTAAGCATATGTTCAGGTTGTGGTCTTTTGGGTCTTTCTTTCTACTGACTTTTTGCTTTTTTTGGTAAGAAATACAATTTTTACTTTCAGAAGGCAGTTTTATTTGCCTGATGTTGAAAGGGTTAATCATCTAGTAATACAAAATTTAGTCACAGAGTACCACAAATAATGTACTTTTAGGATTCCCATAATAACAGAGTGCTAGTCAGAAGAAACGGCTTCTGCTGAATTAAATTTATGAAGCTAGACTTAAGCAGTTAATGTTCTGTTATTAATATTTGTCTACCTCCACTACCTCATCTCTAGGATCCTGTTCTAAATGTAGTGATAATCATAACTAATACTTTCAAAACACTTTCTTTGTTTCTGGTACTGCTTTAAGCACTTTACATTTTTACATATCATTTTTCACAATAATCTTAAGAATTAGGTCCTATAATTATCATTTTACATGAGCCAGAACTTGGATCCATACAGTCTGGACTTGGAGACTGTGCTCTTACTTGCTACACTAACCTGCCTTTTTAGCAAATTTCCTGAAATACTAGCTTTTGATTGTCTAATAAGCAAGCCTTTTTCTTTTTTTTCTGCAATACCTTTTACTTTATGCCTCTCTGTGGAGTATGTGATTTCGTTGTATTATCTGTATTTTGAAGGCAGTAGAGATGGAGGCTTATTCATCTTTTTATTACCAGTACTTAGCCTGAATACTGACACACAATGAATACACATGTAGTATTTTAAATAGGATCAAGTGTTATTTTGGGAAATTCTCAGCATTATTTGATAATCCCAGGTGATGAGCCTAATTTTCCACTAGGTGGCAGTCTCTTCTCTGAATCAGTGTTAACTGGAGTACTTTGTCATAGTATTTTAGGCAAGACAAATCTTTATTGAGCATCTACTGTGTGCCAAGTTGAGCAGGGCTGTAAAATCCAGGAATCAGACCCAGATTACCATGCTCTTTTCCAGTCTTTTGTGCTTACCAAGTAGTTGATTAAACCTCTGGAAGAATTTTAGTTACACTGAACAGCAATCTCAACCATTGACACTAAATGTGATTTTATTTAAAGAATTCATATTCATTAAGAACCACCTACATTGTTGTAGTTGATAGCTTTATTTTTCACACTGTGACATACTGTATCAGAGTTCAAGGTAATGGATACCTTTATATTCCTATAAAAATTTTGTTATATAACTTGCTCATTGACCAAAAGTCCATGGTGTTTGCAATTCCCTGTCTAACATAGTACCTGGTATATTACTGATGTGCAATAAGTGTTTGAAATAAGAATTACAAATCCTATAGATAGCATTTTCCCCTTAAATTTTATAAAAATATAGAATGAAAGCCATGATCAGTGAGTAAATTGGGGGCTAATAATAATAGTGGTAGTAGTAGCTAACATTTATGAAATATTTACTATGTGTCCGCTACTCTTACGAGCATTTTACGTACATACTTCCATACAGTCCTTTCAAAACCCCGCAAGGTAGATGCTATTATTATCCTCATTTTGCAGATGATGAAACTGAGGCACAGGGAGAATGAAGTAATTTACATAAGGTCACACATTTACCCAGCTGTCTGAGTCTAGAGTGCATACTCTTAAAACACAAAGCTACTTATTTAGTCTTTGCATTTCCTATTT